TTTTTTTGGCAGGTTATTATGAATATACACATAGCAAGATGGATTATTGCGGAGCTCCAACGAAAATTTGAAAACAAATAAATATCAAGAAATTTAACTTTCCGCTGGCCCCCAAGGTTACCTAACCTGACTGCACCAGACAAGCAAGAAGTGTCCCAAACAAAACCCAGAAATCTGACTGAATTAAAGCAGTCCATTAAATCGAGGCAATCGCAACTTTAACCCTTCAGGTCGCAATTTATAATTTTCTTATTAGGAGTCGCATATGAGTGGCTGAGCATGGAGGTCATTTACGGTCCATAATTTTTAAAAATAATTATTTATATAAAAAAATATAATTGTACATTAAAAAAAAAAGATAAATGTAAAGCATTGATTAAAAAAAAGATTACGGTTTTTTTTTGTAGCACGATTCGTGAGCCACCGTCTACAAAATAAATTATTATATGCTCCAATCAATATAAAATTTATTTTTGTTTTAAGATCAATTACACATTTACTTTAATTATATTTACCTTAATTACTTAATTTGCATACACATTTAATTATTTTACCTTTTTCTTCCTTTTTATGTTCGGTATGCATTTGCACTTTCCTCAATTACTTCATCTGGTGATAAAATAACAAAAATCAAAATTTCTGTCCAATACAACTACCTCAATGCAGGTCCTGGTAAAATTTTATATAAATTGGAAGTATTCTAAAATTTAATCGAGTAATTATCATTTTAAGTGGATTTTTTAAATTAAAATTTTATATGTGATAGCATGAATCGCATGTATGTACCAAAGATTCCCAATGTTTTATAACAATTTTTAATATATAGGTGCTTTACTTTCACATTTTGAGTTAAATACTTATGCATGTGCATATATCCAAATGTGCCGCATATTAAAGAAATAATGTTGCAAATGCTCTTCGAAACCGAAAATCATGAGCGGTATGCAAATGAAATCTCCACCGTATGATTTTTCCATGTTCGCAGCTCATGTCGCCAGAAATCAAAGATTTTTTCCCGTACAACTGAGTTTTTGTGGCAAAGACGTACATATTGTGGTATGCGACATATTTTAAATTGTTGTTCCAAAGCAAATGGAGTTCTGTACTATTGTATAATGGCGTTCAAGAAACCATTGAAATTATATGGTGTTTTGTAATGTATTACTATGGATTGCACTGAACATATTCAAAGCTTTAAGCTTTTCTGCCAAAATCATACGTTTTTTGTCATATTGACATGTAAAATAATAAATAATGTAAAAAATTGAAAACAAAAAATGTTGTTGCAAAGCCATTTTCATGAAATCAATTTTTATATTGCTTAGTTCTTTTTAATGCCCGTAGAGGTAGTTGAAAATATTTCTTTTTCTTCATTAGGTAGTAATAAAATAGTTTATGACTTGGCCTCGTTTTGGTATTTTCTGGTTTTAGATTTATTTTCTGTTAGTTTAATTTTAAGCATCAGCTGGTGAGTGTCAAACTCATGCTGGGACCTGGTTTCCTGAGCTTTTATTGTAGTACACATTGTACTTGTAGTACCAAAACCATATGGCTGTCTTTAGCATTACTATTGTAGCTTTCTTACCTCTCAGTGTTTTCAGTGTTAAAGTATTCAAATCATTAAACACGCTTTAAAATATTATCCAAATAATTCAAAATCACAATCAAATGTTATAAATTATAGACATGTATTTACAAAATGTCTACAAAAAAATTGTGTGATTGGTGCCGCAAATTCTACGAGTATGTTCCTATAATATGCAAGGTGTAATTTGGAAAATTTGCTGTCAAGATGTCATGGGAAGCTGTCAAGATCTTGAAACTACGTTCAGATTTTATATTGATCAGTAATACCATAAAAATATTTTTGGTATATAATGAATTAATTTTTTTTAAATTAATAATATCGATATAAGCTCGTCAAAAAGGTGTTAATAATCCAAATACAATTTGTTACATTTATGCTGAATATTTAGTGAAAAAGTTTAGAAAACCGTGGATTCCAATGCTTTGTAGGGAACATTTAAAACAGTAGGTAAATGATAAACGTAATCATTTAAAGTATACTTAGTCCTACCATAAATTCAAATTCAGGCCATTATAAAAGTGAAACTAATAATGCATATATTAAATGAGCAATTCTCTCAAACGATTCGGCCATTGATCAAAATCTGCACTCACAGTTTCAATTTCTGTGGGATATTCGACAGTTCAAATTTTTCAACTCTGACCACAGACTGTGGTCCAATGGATACAAGTCTGAACTTCCGGATGGCCAACCACCTGCAGCTATGAAAGAAATATTTCTGGTTTCATTATGCCCAGTTTTAACCCCTTTTCCACAGAATTGAAGAGGTGTAACGCGGGAGATTCTCAATGATAATGCGGAATGTTTTCATGTGGAGATCTGCTCGAATTGACATAATTTTTAGTTTTCAAATCACTTACCACTTCCCATGAGTCAAAAGCTTTCAGACCTATTAGATTGGTCATTCGATGAAATTTAATAAGGAGTATCAAAACGAGGTTCATGTTAAAAAATACTTAAGTACTTGGGACACCAGTGGGTTATATGTGTCGATTTAAAAACAGTATACTTTTTATTAGGTCAACAAAGTTGATTCATTAAATTTCCATTACTCATAAATCAAGAAAAATTGGCCAAATATTACGAAGAGTTAATTCAAATCCTCTTAATTACCTCTTGTTGGTGATGGCAGATTACTGTTTCAGTGGAGATTCTAAAATGAGAAGCTTCTATCCTGTAAAAAAATTTTTAAATTAAATTTTTCAAATGTACATATAACATATGTATTATTGCACTAAAAAAGTAAGTATCAAGTATTTTTCAGGGTACCAAATGTTTTTAATATCAGTTTATCTTTTGGCTGCACTAAAATTTTTGTATACCTGTATTGTACAAGTATATTACCATTTCGGTTAGGTTTCTGATATAATGTCAAATGTCATATTAGGAGGCAAATAAGTACAAGTACGTATTATTATAAACCATATATCTGCGAGGTGTGTTGAAAGGACGGATTTTGATTTTTCGCGGACCGTGTAATTTTGTTTTTGGTATAATTGGACACATATGTTTATCATGTGCTTGCATTAAGGGCCAATTTCGAATAGTAGTTTGTTTTTGACAACAAAAAAGATTAGTCACGTTTTTGTGTGCTTCGATTTTTGGCTTTGAAAGAAGTGGGTCAAAGTGCTCCAAGGCACTTTAACTGTGGCTTCGATGAGTTCACTTTGTTTTAAAAAAGTGCTTATAAGTTGTACAAGCGCTCAACAGATGGATGTTGAAGGCGATGAGAATCCTGGAGTTGCGACTACGTCAACAAGCGAAGAAAACATCGAAACAGTAAAAAAAATTGTTCTTGAAAATCGTCGAATCACTATTAGGGAAATTGCAGAGGATGTTGGCATATCAATCAGCTCATGAATAAATTTTCTGGAATGTTTTGGGCATAAAACGTATGTCAACGAAGTTTGTTCCTAAATTACTAAACTTTGAGCAAAAGGAATGTCGCGTTAGTATCGCTCAGGAGTTGTTTAATAACGTCAACAACGATCCGGGTCCCTTGGCCCCTGCGACTTTTTCCTATTCCCAAAACTGAAGAAACTATTGAAAGGAGAGCGTTTTACCGCAATTGATGAGATCAAGTCAGAATCGAAGAAAGAGCTGATGGCCATTTGAACTGAAGCACATTTCAGAAGTGATTCGAGGATTTGAAAAAGTGTTGGCACAAGTGTATTATATCCGACGGGGATTACTTTGAAAGGGACAAAATATATATTGATGAATAAATAAGTACTTTTTAACTTCCCGCTAAGAAAATTGAAAATT